ATTTATCAAGTTTTTGGTAAAAAAATTTATTGGTTATGAGTAGGTTTTAAAAATTGGAAAGGTATTATGTAACACCAGCAAAACCTTAATGTATTTGCTCCATAGTTACAGGTTTATGAATTAACATTGATCAAGAATGGGACATGCTAGAGGGGGAGGGGTAAATGACATTGACTTTGAGAAAATCGGCTAATGAGAATTGACTTGGAACTTCAAAATCCTTAGCTGTAGCCTGTAGAGTAAAATCGTATTCTTTGTAGATTTAAAAAAAAAAAAAAATTGATGAAATGTGTGAGTTAAAAGTTGAGGGGTTCATGAAATGTGGTTAAAATTAATTGTTGACTTTGATTTGAGTTTTTATCAGCTTTTAATCTACACCAAACAGGAGCTTAACATTTCCGATACCCCTAAAATCTTTCTATGCTGAAGTACTTGAGGTCCAACAGACCATTTGCCTCACCAACAGTCACAAGATCATCCAGTATACTACTGGTGCCTCTTGATTCCATGCCCTGAAAACCCTTCACCAACAACCACATCCTTCCCAAAGTCCCCACCAACAAAGTCAAAACACAATCCTCATCGGAGGTCATCGAATACATCCGAGACTCTGTCATCATGGGCCCATCCATTGCCTAAGAGACTCCACCATGAAGGTGGTGCAACCCATGTCCACTCATTAGGCTCACACGGCGGTGCCGAATCCTTTGAATTCTCTCAAACAGTGATCGTAGTTCCCAATTTTCTTATGAAACGGTTTCTGTCAGCCTTACCAGCTGGGAAGAACTACAAATTCTGATGGTAGGAGAGCGACATGCGCAAGATCACCACATTTATAGTTGGTATGTCAACTGGTGCATAAAGGAGTGTGCACTACAAAAGGTGAAGCAGCCCATGTCCGTTGATTGGGCTCACATGGGCGGCCACCGTGCACCGAGATTTTGATCAATCCTGGAAACTCCCACGATGGGGGTGCCATGTATAAATGGCTCACCGTAGCTAGCGAATGTTGGGAAACTAGTTTTAAGGGGTTGTTTGTTTCTGCTAAAAAGCAGAATTTCATCCGTTGAAACCTCAAGAATTGGACCGTTGCTTCAGACAATTTTTGCAGCAATCCTGACATATCAGAAGACATTTTGAATAAAAAGTGGAAAATGACATCTTTGCCATCAACACTTGAATCATTTTGCATGATTCACATGCATTTTG